AGATAGATAGAGATAGATAGATAGATAGATAGATAGATAGATAGATAGATAGATAGATAGATAGATAGATAGATAGATAGATAGATAGATAGATAGATAGATAGATAGATAGATAGATAGATAGATAGATAGATAGATAGATAGATAGATAGATAGATAGATAGATAGATAGATAGATAGATAGATAGATAGATAGATAGATAGATAGATAGATAGATAGATAGATAGCTAGATAGATAGATAGATAGATAGATAGATAGATAGATAGATAGATAGATAGATAGATAGATAGATAGATAGATAGATAGATAGATAGATAGATAGATAGATAGATAGATAGATAGATAGATAGATAGATAGATAGATAGATAGATAGATAGATAGATAGATAGATAGATAGATAGATAGATAGATAGATAGATAGATAGATAGATAGATAGATAGATAGATAGATAGATAGATCGATAGATAGATAGATAGATAGATAGATAGATAGATAGATAGATAGATAGATAGATAGATAGCTAGATAGATAGATAGCTAGATAGATAGATAGATAGATAGATAGATAAGATAGATAGATAGATAGATAGATAGATAGATAGATAGATAGATAGATAGATAGATAGATAGATAGATAGATAGATAGATAGATCGATAGATAGATAGATAGATAGATAGATAGATCGATAGATAGATAGATAGATAGATAGATAGATAGATAGATAGATAGATAGATAGATAGATAGATAGATAGATAGATAGATAGATAGATAGATAGATAGATAGATAGATAGATAGATAGATAGATAGATAGATAGATAGATAGATAGATAGATAGATAGATAGATAGATAGATAGATAGATAGATAGATAGATAGATAGATAGATAGATAGATAGATAGATAGATAGATAGATAGATAGATAGATAGATAGATAGATAGATAGATAGATAGATAGATAGATAGATAGATAGAAGATAGATAGATAGATAGATAGATAGATAGATAGATAGATAGATAGTAGATAGATAGATAGATAGATAGATAGATAGATAGATAGATAGATAGATAGATAGATAGATAGATAGATAGATAGATAGATAGATAGATAGATAGATAGATAGATAGATAGATAGATAGATAGATAGATAGATAGATAGATAGATAGATAGATAGATAGATAGATAGATAGATAGATAGATAGATAGATAGATAGGTAGTTAGGTAAGTAGGGAGGTAGGTAGGTAGATTGTAAAAGGCTATTTACAAACTTCAATTACAAATAATTGTAATCGGTTATTGCTTAATTATAAATTACAATATTCTGCACTACTTGTCCCGTTTATACATTAAGTAAACAATTTAATTTCCTTATCAAATTATCTCTTTTATATACTTTTTTCGTTGAAAAAAACAGCAAATTTGTTAAAATTAATGTCAAGCGTTAAAAGAAATTATGCAATGTTTATAGCAGCAAAGAAAAGGCTAAGAAATTTAAATATTTACACACTGCTGGCTCCTTATTGAAGATGTTGGAACAAAAACTCTTATAAATAAAGAATACTCACACAAAATTAACACAATTTTTTCCACATAAAAGAAAGTTTTTTCCATCACATTTTATATCAGAAATCCTTTAAAAAAAAGCTCAACAAAAAAACATAACAAGCATAAAACAAATTTAACACTAGACTGCTTTTACTAGAAGCCAGATAGTATAGAAAATTATGAAAATAAAAGTTATGAAAATATGAAAGATTAAAATATAAAAGAAGATATCTTTTTATGTAAAAAAAAACTAGAAAAAATATGTTAGTTTTACTTAATAATATTAAGTAATAACTACTTAACATTGGACCACAACTAACACCACAGAAAACCTATTAATTTTCTTCATTATTATGCAGATCTGAACAAAATAGCGTAGCATTTTTATTAAACATTTGAAAGAGATTATTAATGATGGGACATTAACTTCAACACTTTGAGACCTTAAAATTAAGTTGTTAGTTATTTTGTTTTTTTTTTTAACTAAAAATATTTTAATCATAATAATAATCATAATCATTTTTGATAGGCTTAGTGTCAGGCTGTTTTTAAAAAAAAATATGATATATGTTTTAATATTAAATTTTGTTAAAAATTTGCATAAAACCTAATCGAGTTTAAACATAAAAGAAAATAAGAAAAGGTATGGTATTTGTTGGAAAAAAATAAGGTGTGTGTGAAAAGTATGATGTTTATTTAAAAAAAAAATATTTTAAATAATTAAATTAAACAATAAAATTATAAATGAATTAATATTTCTTCATGGTTGGACAGTGGGTTAAGAAAGGTGAAAATTGTTTAACAGAAGTTAAACAAATACCAGGTAAAATTTTTAGAAAAATTTTATATATTTACACGATATTAAATGAAATTCTTAAATATTGCTTAAACCTTAAGCTTTTGAAAGCTTCAATTAGTTCCTAAAACCAAGCGTTTTAAATGTCACTTTGTTATTATACTGCTTTTTATACCCTACATGTTTGTAACACCCAAAAATATTGGACCTAGAGCCACCATAGAGTATACCAATCACTTTCTTAGTCAATTTAGCTATGTCCGTCCGTCTGTCTGTCTGTCTGTCTGTCTGTCTATCTGTCTGTCCGTCTGTGGGTCAATGTAAACCTTGTGCGTACTCTACAGGTCGCAATTTTCAAGATAGGAAGTTTGCGTTTGATCAACATGTTTGTAACCCCCAATCAGCTCAGAATCACTTTCTGAGTCGATTTAGCAATATCCGTCTGTTCGTCCTTCTGTCTGTCCGTCCGTCCATCTGTCTGTCCTTCTGTGTGTCCATGTAAACCTTGTGCGTACTCTACAGGTCGCTATTTTCAACAATGCCTTTTCCCAATTTGGAGAATTCACGATTCATTCTCGAATATTGAATATTTAATAGAAAATCTTATTATTTAGATTTGAAATTATTTCTGTTCGTGATTTATTCGCGAATAATTTAAGAACATCTAAATTTGTAATCTTTTGAAGTTATTCAGTTCCACCCATTACTAAGAAGGTAATTATTTACTTTTTATTACTCAACGTATAAAAACTTTAAGCGAGTTTGATTTTAAATCATTATTTTCGTGATTGGTTCGCGAATAAGTTAAGAGCATGCTAGAGTTTAGGTTTATTTTATTTATGTCCATTTTTGTTTCATTCTCAAACTCGTGATTTATTCGCAAACAATAAAATGTTCCAGAAACTGCTAGATTTGAAGCTATAAAGGAACTTACCCATTCAAAAAAGAATCTTAGCTCTTTCCAAAAAAAAAAAAAAAAAATAAAATGTTCCAGAAACTGCTAGATTTGAAGCTATAAAGGAACTTACCCATTCAAAAAGGAATCTTAGCTCTTTCCAAAAAACTCTTAGGCAATCGTGATCTACTTTCCACATATTTAAAACATCTCAAAACGTTAAATTTCAATTAATATTTATATCAAATCTAGTAAATTTATAAATTAATTCACTTCATTTCAATAACCAGTAGCGGTGCTTAAAACAAACATGATTGAAACATTGTAGAGAAAAATGAAATAAAAAATCAAACAACTTAACTTTTAGATTAATTGAGTCATTCATGTTGAACAAACCAAAACAACAACAACAAAATGAAAATAATGCAAAAAAAAACGAAATTAAAAAGAAATAAAAATAATTAAAAAATACGTTGGCGCTTACAAGATAAACATAAATAACCAACATACAAACAGCAGCCAACCTGTTTAAACATGTTTGGAATTAGTTTTTAAATTAAAAAACAAGAAATACAATTGATAGAAACATGTAGAATAAAAGAGCAAACATGTTGAGCAGCATAAAAAAAACTTAAGCAACATAAACATCAACGTAAATCTCTTAGCAACATGTTTATAGACATATAAACTTAAACATTTATATTGTTATAGAAATTTATTTAGAGATGTAGATTTTTTACGATTTGAAAGAGTTTTTGCAACAAAATTTGTTTGTAAACAATGTTGTTTCAACAAAAATGTTTATAAACATTTTGTAATATTTGTTTACATGTTGTTAACTAATAAACTAATTACAACAAATAGCTGCATTTATTCAATTTTCACATATCTACTACTTGAAACACTTTGGCAAATGAAATGCTCATTTCACTCTCTCTCTCTTCCCTTTCAAAACCCCCACAACAACTGTTTCCAACAATTGCATAAAACAAACATAAACAAGTTCAGAAAAAAGCAAAACATACAATCCACCACATGACTAAATAGATATTACACAAAAATATAAACAAAAGACATGCAACAGCAGGCCATAAACGAAATGAAAACGAAATACCATCCACAATTTACTCTCCGATAACATTAAACACGATGAAATGAAAAACGAAACACAGATACTTCGTAGGTAGAATACAACAAACACACACACACGCACACAACAGCAGCAGGCAAACAGACTTGCTTTGCTCAAAGTTCGTAGTAAAAATGTTGATTTTTGGGGGATTTCGAGTATCTCTGTGTGTGTGTGTTGTTTTGTTTGTTTCAATGTGCGTATTCTGTGTGTTTACCGAACTGTGGAATCGTCTATGGATTTAGTTGTAATACGATTGCCGGGCGGTTTGGTTGACTTTTACAAGAACAGAACGCACATACGGGCGTTCGGTTTTGGGATACAAAACAATTTCAAAAAGCTACTTCTACTACTAGTGGAGTTAAATAAAAACAAAGAAAATTTTAACGAAATTTAAAAAAAAGCTCCCCTTTTTAAGAAAATTTATAATGGAATTTTTTGCATAAAAGAAAATAAAAACAAAATGTGTTTAAATAAAAGGATTTAAAGTGTTTTGTTAAAATAAAAAAGAAAATTAATGAAAAATTTATTAAAAAAACAAAACTCATTTATAAAATAAGATTATAACTAAATTTAAAATTAAGTTCTAACTAAATAACTAATAACATTTAAAGCTTCAAAAAGAATTAAAAATACTCCTCTAACTGGTGTCAATAATAAATTTTCCGAAAAAAATTACCAACAAAATAAATCAAAATGTCAGTGTTTAGTGCTACAAAAACGAATAAATAAAATTTTATAAAAACAACTACAACAACATTAAATACACAATTTTTTAAATTCTTAACACAAATCAAATACTATTTGAATTTATAGCTTAAAACTCATTTACTTAAAACAGATCATAGAAAGAAATAAAAGAAAAACGTATAAAAATAATAAGAAAACAAAAAAAGTTTCTTCAAATCACATTCAAAATGCATCATATGTTAGAGCATTTGTTGAGTTTTAAAAATATCTTTAAGATTAACAATAACAACAACAATAATACACATACTAATAATACTCATGTCGCCAACATGTTAAGAACTAAAGCAACAAAAACAACATATGGAATAAATCCAACAGCAGCATCATCATCATCATCATCAGCACCCAAACATTTTGGCTTGATGTCAATGCAGTTGCTGTTGGTATTGTTGGTATTTTTATTAGCCGATAGTGGATTATATGGATTAAAAATAGTTACAGCTCTTAAGGGTAAGTTTTTTGGAAATGATAGATGCGTTTTTAGCCTTATATGGTTATAAAACATAAATTTTAAACTAATTTGAGTTCTTTTGAAAAAAAATATTTTTAATCTTGGGGATTAGTTTTCGGGAAGTAAAAGATTTATAGGTTTTTGAGGCAAGGCTGGTTTGTAGAAAAATACATTTAGAAGTTTTAAGCTTATAAAAGATCAGCAATGAGTCATGCTTAAGCAGGTTAAATTTTAGTTAGTATTTAAGTTTTAGTTAGTGCTTAATCCAACTGAGGATCATTTTATAAAAGTTTTAAACTGTTAACGTCTTGAATTATAGATTTTAAAGCAATTTTAAAGAAATATAAATAGAAAGATTCAGATCATCTTTAATGATCTAAAAAGCCGAAACATTGATCAGTTATGAAAGAAATTTTGAAACTATTTCTCTACAATATTGATTTGAAATTGTTCTAGTTCAGTTCTAGTTAAGTACTCGTTCAGTTCTAGTTCAGTTCTAGTTCAGTTTCTAGTTCAGTTCTAGTTCTAGTTCAGTTCTAGTTCAGTTCTAGTTCAGTTCTAGTTCAGTTCTAGTTCAGTTCTAGTTCAGTTCTAGTTCAGTTCTAGTTCAGTTCTAGTTCAGTTCTAGTTCAGTTCTAGTTCAGTTCTAGTTCAGTTCTAGTTCAGTTCTAGTTCAGTTCTAGTTCAGTTCTAGTTCAGTTCTAGTTCAGTTCTAGTTCAGTTCTAGTTCAGTTCTAGTTCAGTTCTAGTTCAGTTCTAGTTCAGTTTCGTTAGTTCAGTTTCTAGTTCAGTTCTAGTTCAGTTCTAGTTCAGTTTCTAGTTCAGTTCTAGTTCAGTTCTAGTTCAGTTCTAGTTCAGTTCTAGTTCAGTTCTAGTCAGTTCTAGTTCAGTTCTAGTTCAGTTCTAGTTCAGTTCTAGTTCAGTTCTAGTTCAGTTCTAGTTCAGTTCTAGTTCAGTTTCTAGTTCAGTTCTAGTTCAGTTCTAGTTCAGTTCTAGTTCAGTTCTAGTTCAGTTCTAGTTCAGTTCTAGTTCAGTTCTAGTTCAGTTCTAGTTCAGTTCTAGTTCAGTTCTAGTTCAGTTCTAGTTCAGTTCTAGTTCAGTTCTAGTTCAGTTCTAGTTCAGTTCTAGTTCAGTTCTAGTTCAGTTTCTAGTCAGTTCTAGTTCAGTTCTAGTTCAGTTCTAGTTCAGTTCTAGTTCAGTTCTAGTTCAGTTCTAGTTCAGTTCTAGTTCAGTTCTAGTTCAGTTCTAGTTCAGTTCTAGTTTCAGTTCTAGTTCAGTTTCGTTCAGTTCAGTTCTAGTTCAGTTCTAGTTCAGTTCTAGTTCAGTTCTAGTTCAGTTCTAGTTCAGTTCTAGTTCAGTTCTAGTTCAGTTCTAGTTCAGTTCTAGTTCAGTTCTAGTTCAGTTCTAGTTCAGTTCTAGTTCAGTTCTAGTTCAGTTCTAGTTCAGTTCTAGTTCAGTTCTAGTTCAGTTCTAGTTCAGTTCTAGCTCAGTTCTAGCTCAGTTCTAATTAAGTTACTGTTTGAAATAGATCGATACTTGAAACTTGTCGTATCTTTTTGATATTAAAGTCATCTTATCATCATCATTCAGATTTTTTCAAGGTTTAACTCTCATTCTATGCAGCCATTTGTAGATTCTCTCTTATAGAACTGAAAGATTTCAATACTGGTCTCTCATTGTTCAACTGTCACATTTTTGTTAGATATGGACATTTGATAGACATTTTCCCAATCATTTTTTATATCATATTTTATCTTAAATAATTATTGTGCTTTAATTATTCCTAACAAAAAACTTTCTGTTATTAAGTCATTTTCAATTGAAGACAAAATATCCAACTTTTCTCTTTTCCAAACTCACGATTTATTCGCGAATAATAAAAAACTTTTAGAAAATTGAAAATTTAAGTTTTTTTTTTAACTTTTTATAATGATTTCTTATGCTTTGCAAATAAAATAATATCAGTTACAATAAAACCTGCATTTCTGCTTTTTCTTAAACTCTCGATTTATTCGTGAGTATTAACAAAATTTTAAGAAAATGTAAAATTCTTTCTTTAATCTTAAAGTTTAAAAGTTTTAAACATTTTTCATATTTTTCCACATTTTTTTAATAAAATTTTTAAAAAGAATTTTTTTTTTACATTTTTAAAATTTTCCAATAATTTTCCATAAAATCATAAAGCAAAACAAGAAAACACTTTAAAAATTTTCATTTGAAAAACAGCAAGCAAACAATATTTTCACCCTTGAAAACCATATTTTTTTTGTGGAATTAACACAGCCAGCCATTTTTATAACTATCGATTGTTGTTGTTGTATCTTTCCCTGTTATGCACAATTTTTTCTTTGTAAAAACAATCTGCACTCTTAAGAAAATGTGTGTAATATGATCTTGTGGAAAACCCTAGGATGCCTAACATACACACACACATACAAGAACAATTTATTAACTATAAAACCTTGTATACTTGTAAACAAATAAACTAAATACTTGTTAGAAGTAGAATATGGATATGGGGTAAAATACATAAGAATTCATAAGTGTATAAACACGGCGGGATATTTGTTAGTTAAACAGACAGACAATAAATGTTGTAAAATATGTATATAAACTACCTGCTTTTGTTGTAATACAAATATTAATATTTGCTTAGATTTTATTAGAGATTTAGTTTTTTTTTTCAAGAGTTTTAAAGACATATGGTGCAAAATAACAAAAGGGCAAATATAAGAAATTGATAATAAATTTTAGGAAATTTTAGATAAAATTACTAACTAAATTTAATCAAATTTTTAATAAGATTTATTTTGCTTTAAGACTTAACTTCTTTCTTTCCTTTGCTTGTCTCTCTCTCTCCTAATCAAATTATTTCACTTTTATATAATTTTGCCTTATAGGCGCCAACCTACTTACCTTTTTTTCCCTACATTATTCAGTTATTCTTGTTAAGAAATTCATCATATCTAATGTATTATCTATTGACCCTATTTTACATTTTAAATTTTGAAATACTCTAAACATAAGAAAAAAAAAAGTTATTTTCATATGCATACAAAATAGTATAACTGTAAGGTATGTTAGAGTTACAGAAAGAAAAAAAAACGTAATCTTTGGGAAACTCAAAACTATTGTAGTTTTATTTGAAAACTATGAAAAGGTATTATTAGCTGACTTACAATAAAATAGCCTAAGAATATTCTGCTATAAATTGTGTTAGTTGTTTTTCCTCTATACACACTTGTAGTTAGTTTTTAGAGCATAGAAGAAAATTTACCATTTACTTCATTTATTTAACTGGAGCATATCATAGTTTTGCAAAGAAATAGGAGTCAAATTTCGTAAAATAAAAAACTAGAAAAATGCATAAAACTGTTATAAGTGTAGCGAAAAAAAAACAAAAGTCTAAAGGCTAACTAGTGACCCAAAAATGGATGAAAAAAAAGATTTATAAGGTTGCTTAGAATTGTATATTAATACAGATTTCTTTTTATTTTTTGATACTAAAATTTTAGCATAATACTTAAAATCATGTGTCATTAATCTTTTTAAAGTTTGTTTCTAACAACATTTAATCCAATCAGTGACAGTCTAGACGTATGAGATGTTCCAAAGTTTTTTAGTCTCCCATTAAGGTTCATTTCCTAAGAGCTTTCTTGTGAATTAAACAGATATAGATGGAGTTAAAGAATGACAGACAGACGCATGAATGGCCAAACGGAAGGACGGACAACCGAATAAAGCTAGTATTAATACACTTACTAATACTTCGAGGTGCTAGAAATGTAATTAATCCTTTATTTTGTTAAGATATTCTTATAATCAAAAGCTTTTAAATTGTTTAAACTTTTGCTTATTAACTTTAAACTTTACGGATTTACGGACGTATGGAAGGATGGAAGGACGGATGGATGGATGGACAGATGGACGGACGAGACAGGGGATATGAAGACAGACCGACGGACAGACAAGAATTCAAATTTAACAACTAATTTTTCGTTGACTTCCTCCTTTTTGTTCCAAAAGCTTTCGTATTATGATTTAAAATTAACATTAAATATCAAATGTTTGCTTACAACTTGGAAACACTTGGAAAATAATAGTTTTCTCAACAATAAAGGAAATATTTTCTCAATATAAGAAGAACTTTGAAGTTAGACAAGGTCACTTAAATAATCGTTAACAGTCTAGATGGATGGTTAAGATGTTACAAATCTTTATTTGTTTGAACATTTCTCCTGCTAGAGCTTTCTTGTGAATTGAACAGATATTATAGATGGAGGAAAGGAATGACAGACAGGACAAACGGAAGGACGGACAACCAAATAAAGCTATAATTATTTCATTTACTAATACTTCGAAGTGTTAGAAATATAATGAGCCCTTCTTTTAGTTAGGAGATTCTAAAAATCTAAAGCTTTTTAATTGTTTAAAATGTTCCTTAATAACTTTGAAATCAAGCGGAGGGATGGATGGACGGACGGACGGAAGGACAATAAATTCTTAAACATTTTTCTGTTTGAAAGATTTGGTCCATTTTAAAAGATTTCTTCATCTCAATATTTCTCTTTCAGGGAAAGTTTGTAACTTAAACAAATATAGAGACAATGAGATGGATATGAAGACAAAACGACAGACAGACAGACGGAAGAATGGACAGACAAATATAGCCAGAGTTCAACAACTAACTTTTCGTTGACTTCCTCCTTTTTGTTACAAAAGCTTTCATATTATGATTTAAAATTAACATCAAATATCAAATGTTTGCTTACAACTGGAAAACACTTGGTTAATAATAATTTTCTCAACAATAAAGGAAAAGGTTTCTTTAACTGAGAAGAACTTAAACTCTGAAGTTAGACAAGATCACTCAAATAATCTTGATAATAATAAAAAAAACTTTGATGAGAATGATAACTTACCAAACAATAGAGGGAAGTTCTTCTCTTTTAGTGCAAAATTGTGCTCTCTCTCTCTTTCTCTATTCATAAGAAACTGA